GATCCATATCTAGTTGGGCCCTGAACCATATATACAAGCCCCTAAACCCTAAGCCTAAGTCCTGAATCTTCCACGAATCCTCCCGCCTGACAGCTGTACACCCAGGGTCCTGGGATCTGGAACCTTGTAGTGCTGCGATTCTGTCATTGTTGGATCTAAAAGTAGAACCTTCATTTGTCTAGTGGATCCACAAGTAGAACCACAGCTATAGTCTATGCTTGCATTCTAAAGATTGGATCCTGTATATCTATATATGAATATATATAGTCTGGACTATACGATATTAATAACCCATATATAATATATATATGCTATATATATAGCTATAGCTAACAAAATCAACGACTTATGGCTGGATCCAGATTTACCCATGGGTGGCTCTACTTTTGCAGGCCTCGTGGTGTCCCAACAGCCCACCAGGGGTTTTTAAGACTAGCAGTCGTACGTCTTGCAAAATCACAAAAGCCCCGATATCGTGCTGCTCTTCGAGTAGCCTAGTACCGTGTGTCGATGTTAGAGTAGCAACGTACCAAAGCGCCGATTTGGTGTGAATTGTGCTGATCTACCGGCAAGAGTGCCAGCGAAGAGCTGGGGCCGACAATGAGGTATGGAAGTGGATCCCCGATGAGCCCCCCGATGAGCCCCATTAGGACGTCATACGTGCTGTCTGCTCCTATAAGTAAGCAACGCAGAGAATGAGGTATCAAAGTAGATCCCCGATGAGCCCCCCAATGAGGTATGATGAGGTGTTCTGGACCCAGAAGATACACAAAGTCGTGCAATCTAGACCAATTGTAGCTAGTGTTGCGATCACGCAGACTCAACCACTGAACTCGAGGTTCCACTTCTATGGCTATTGTCTCGATCCGATGATGTGTGTTTGTGATGTATACATATCTCGAGGAAAGGTACAGGACGGCCTAGGCTAGGGTAGCTGGGTAGATCTCTTAGCTGTGCCAGAGCACGGCATGATGAGTGCTATGGATAGTCGGGAGACCCTGACCGCCGAGACCCTTGTTGATGCCCCCCAAGAGGCTGAAGCGCCCGCCGCAGCTCCATCGCCGATAGCGACCGCCAGTGCAGCTCCATCGCCGATGACCTCCGAGTCCGAAGCCCGAGCAATCACGAACTATGCTTCACACTACAGGAGAGATCCGAAAGATGTTAGCATCGAGATGGTTCGGGCTTCCGCCGAAGGGGCTACGCACTGGGCGACTGTAGGTCTGGACTTGACCGCTCGCTCTCCCTTGGGCCAAACTATGAACCGTGCCCTAAAGCACAAGCCGGACGTGAAAGCCATGTACGGCCTCATGCTAGACCAGTTTAAGGGGGAGTTCAGAAGAGCCTGGGCTGTTCAAAAGGACTTCGAGTTCGTTCGTACGGTGAAAACCACGGAGAACAGCTTCAGGAAGAAGCGGGAGGATTTGGGAACCTACAAGACCGAGCTTCAAATCACCCAGCTGCTTGGGGGCACCGATCAACCAGCCGCCGTTGAGCAAACCCAGAACTATATCAAGATGTGCACCAGAGAAGACCTCAAGGACCATAAAAAAAACCCAGTAATCTCCGTTATTCATGGTAAGCTCCCAACAAAACCCCGAGTCTAGCCCAATAAAAGTCCCAAATCCGAGATTATGGGTTTTCTCCCGCCCACTAAACCCCTTAAGCCCTTAAACCCCTAAACCCCTAAAGGCCCTAAACCCCGAAACCCTATAGCCTACCACACCCCTATGCAGGAGTACTGTGTGTGCTTCAACTCGTGGCTGAAAGTTGACACCTACTTGTGGGTGGAGCACCTGATCAGCACCAGCAACCACCAGGAGTGGCGATCCACGGTCTCCGTGGAGTGCACGGAAACGATCCCAGGGTCGTGGGCCGAGAAGGTCGAGATCTCCAAGGCTATCCGCTGCTTTGCCGTGGAAAACAACGCCAGACTGGTGGACGTCAAAGAGGATGATGTCAGGAACTCCGAGCTCGGAGTGGCCGGGTATGCCGCTCTGTTTGACAAAACACCGGCGGCAGCGCCGAAAGCGGGAGGGGACGGTAGCAATGCCAGAGGAGGCAAGGGTAAGAGGACCACGCCGGTGGAGGATGCCGGTGCTGGTTTGGCGGACGGGGAGCCTGCAGCAGGGACGAATGGTGGGGAGGAGCCCAAGGCCAAGAAGGCACGCAACGGAGCCAACGTTCTTTCCTCGAAGAAGGAAAAGGAAGTGAAAGAGCTCCTGGCACAGGAGCAAAGCTCGGACAATACCATGTCCGTGCTGACGGTGCAAATGGGCAAGGGCGACGCCTCTTCATGGGCTTGGGCAAGTGGGTTCGTGAAGAACTACAAGGATTGCCGGATGCAGGTGCTCCAGCTCTACGCCGATAATCCCTTCTTCCAATCCATGAAAGTGGCCGTGCTTTCCTCTAAGGAGCTGCAGAAAGTCAAGAAGGATTACAAGGATCTATATGTCCCGAAGTTGTGCGATTTCGTGAGCATGCTAGGCCCTAAAATCCTTGCTATGGCAGAGGCTAGTGCCCAAATCCAGTTGATGGCTGAAGCCAAGCAGAATGCTTCCGAGTCAGCCAAAGCTACCCCTGGACCCAAATCTAAGGCTAAGTCCAACAAGGGCCCCAAACGAGCGGCCTCGCAGGCGAGCCTTGCTTCCGCTTAGAAGGCCCACGCCTTGGGTTTTCGATTCAAATCTTCAAGTTTCGAGCTTGCCGGGTAGTGCCACAAGCGGAACATGTGGATCGCGGGCTCAAGTTTGGGATAAGCTGTTCTTTTTTAGGGCTCGGGTTTAGGATAAGGTGTTCGTGTTTAGGGCCTGGGTTCGGGGATTAGGATAAGCTCTTGGGCTCGAGGGTTAGGGCTCGCCGTCCGGAATGGGATAAGCTGTTTTTTTTTAGGGCTCACGGTCCTGGGTTGGGATAAGCTACTGTATTTTAGGGCATAAGTTCGGGTCGTTTCACGCTTAACGCCTTGTGGTCAAAGGTTCCCTTCTAGTCTAGGGGTTTCCAATTAAGCCTAGTTTATTGCAACTGATCCCATGTGCTGCTTGTGTGGCTTGGGTCTCGTGTACAGTGTCGTCTCACACAAAACAGCTTGTGCTGAGCTTCTTGGAGCAACGAGCAGCAAAGGTGCGGGGAAATACGCCTCGAAAGTTTAGCTGCCGATGCAACAACATGATCGCTTCGAGTTTGGGCCATGCAGACGCCTAGAGGATTGCTTCGAGTTTGGCTCACGTACGAGCGACCCGTGTATGTATGTGTGATAGAAACATATGCATGGTAAAGGTATTCCTTTGCATGGGATCTAGTCGTATGCTCCTTTATATAATCACAGGATCTAGACTTCTGTACATACTGTCTGCACACTGTGTGTACTTTTCGCTAGGGCCAGGCCAATCACTTACTGCTGCAGCTCGTTTATTCTTGTATCTACGTAAGTGAGACCGACCATAGACCATGATGGCATGTGTGTCGCATGAGCTTCAAACGTGCTCGTGCTGCAGAGCAAAGCAGGGGTTCCAGTTTTGCCGTGCCCGATGCATTTCAAGACCCCTTGGTTGATGAAGGTTCGAATTCCGAGGCTGCTCAGAAATTCCGACGTCTGCTGATTGAAAAATATTTGGATGGGTCTGCCACGGCAACGGATACCTGCCAGCTTGCTTACTGGCACAACGAATCAGGAGGCGAAGGTGCTGAGGATCTGGCTTTGAACCCTCGGACTGCTACACGCCATGCAGCTGAACATTTGAGGTTGGGGCCTTTAGCAATAAGTGCTGTATTTCTGCAAAACTTGATTGTATGGGTGCCCCAATAAAATGCTAGCCTAAACCCTCGACCCATCATTACACCATTGAGTTCCCAATTTGGCTCTCGTACTCTGCCCCAGGTGTCATTTGGCTAAAGAGTTCCCGGAACCTGATGTGGAGATGGTTTCTGTTCCGATGTATTTGAAGAAAGCCGTGGGGAGGACCATCGTGCAGCACCCCACACGTGTCGCTTCGATCATGATACGCAATGAACTAAAAGGTCTGGGTATCCTTGGGTCTGACGCTGAGCTGTCTTCCGCTGCTGTGCAAGACTTTCTAAAATCCGACGAAGAATTAGGGGATCTGTACGAACGCCATTGCATCACAATCGAAGCCCTTCGCCAGGGTTTCAAACGAGAACACATTGTGCCGCTGTCCGTGTACTTTGACGGAGTCCAGTATTCCAAGAATGAGAATTTTTTGGGATTCTATATCACCAATCTACGTACAAAAAAGCAAAGGTTGGTTTGGCTGCTGAGTACCTCGACAGCAGGCAGAAACCTGTACGTGTTATTTAGGTAAGTTAAGTATGCTTGTATGTTGTGCATGCATGTTTAGTATGTATATGTATATCCATGTCTAGGTTTTTGTACGTGTCTGGGTCATATGTAGGTAGAATAGGTGTAGGTTAGGTGCATGTGCATGCGAATGTTTATGTACTAGATGTATGTACGTGGAGGTAGATTGGATGGATATATATACATATAAATAGATGTACGGTGTGTATGTGTGTGTATATATATATATTGTGAGAACGAGCAAAGCAGGATTATCGGAGCTTTGTGGCTGTGGCTGCCGTGGCTGGTGTTCCGTGTTTCCACTGTTGGATTCATTCAGGCGAGATTTGACTGAAAAGCATGCCGACTTGAGATTAGCGGTCATAGACTTCAAAGCTGATTGGGCTGCACTGGTCGAGATAGCTGCTTTGAGAACATGGTCACACAACTTGCACGCCTGCCCTTGTTGTTTGGCCAAGAAAAGCGAGATGGACAACCTCGACGGCTTCAGTGCAACAACGTCTGCATTCACGCCGTTCGATAAGGACCAGTACGAAGCGACTTTGGTCAACAATTTCAAGGACCTTTGATTCCGAATAACCTTCTCCGCTAAACCTTAAGGAAGCTTGTATGTCTTGATGCTTGCGGTTATGTTATCGTGCTTGCTACTGCTGGATTTATTGAAGATTCTAGGTTCTAGACAATGTCACACCGGCATAGACAAAGATGTGTCTGTAGTTGGAAGGAAGTCACGGTTCCTGATGAACATGTTCGACGGCAGCTGGCGAAACTTCTGTGTTTTCGAAATAAGAAAGGCCGTGGACGATGTTTGCAGGCGGCTTTCCCTCAGCTGGGTCTTCCGAAAATGGCAAGATTGGAGCCTTCGACAAGATTACCTGATGTGGGGTCGTTCGAATATCAAGAGTGTCCATTTGATTGCATTTTTTTCGTGGGTGGCCAGCACGCCCGTGTCTTGCACATGTCTCCTCTGTTACAAATCCCCGGGGTCACTTTGGCTTCTTGGTCTATCGACCTCTTGCATTCCTGGCACTATGGACCTCTTTCTACATATCTGACATTCGTTCTTCGTGCTTTGTTGTCCACAGAGATATACAAACCCGGAAACACAGCGATTCTGGACAAGGAAGAAAACGACAAATTGTGTTTGATGGCACTGAAAGCAGAGCTGTGGGTGTACTACAAGCAAAGACGTGCTAGCGATCCCGAATGGAGCAGGAAAGGTTCGGAGGTGGGGTAGCAAACGACCAATAGAACAATATTGTTTTTTGGTAAGAATCTAATCCATGACCTATATCCATAGCTACCGTATATACAACTGTTAAAAGCTTAAGCTGTTTTGTACAGCTGGGTGGATTCTATTGTCCCCTAGACCGCTAATGCTCATATACTTCGTTTGGCTGCAGGTCTGGAACTTAAGCCTCACGATGCTTGCCGAGAAAGCATTGAAGTGCAAAGCTGCCGAGACACATGGATTACTTCGCTTTGTTGTTTTGACACTGGACAAATACAAGACAATCCTGCAGGGCTGTGAGCAGTCGTCCATGTTCGATCTGCTGCTTCGGGCGGGAAAGGCAGCTGAAGCTTTCGATAAGGTTATGGCTGATCACACTCGGGTGCTTCCTGGAAGTGCATGCGATGCTTTGCATGCAAACTATCATCGCTTCATATGGCTTTGCTCAAGGGCTGGTGTGCCTCTGCTACCGAAAGCACATCTTATGTTCCACCTCGTGGCTCAGGCCCGTTTGCGAGGCAATCCCCGGTGCTACTCAACCTACATCGATGAGAGCTACAATGGTACCATTGCGAAAGTGTGCCGTTCAGTTCATAGGCGAAACTGGGCTATGGCGGTTTACAGGAAGCTGGAAATGCTCGAGAGCATGCTTGCTGAAGAGTTCTGAATTGCAGACGTGTCGCTTACACAGGTTGCAGCTTCGCCGCATTATTCCCGCAGCTCTGCAATCCTCGAAATGCAACAGACCCGATGGTTTCCTGTTAAATCGGCATCCCCGTAGATTTCAGGCGGTTTTGTCAAACAAGTTCCTATATAATGATGAACGATAACCGGCCCGAGGCATGGATGGGTGCGATCGAACCCTTCTGGCCGAGCTTCTCGGTTATGCTTTCAGTCCTAGGTTTAGGGGCTTGGTGTTCAAGCGAAGGATGACCACACGCTTTGCTTTTTTGAAGACAAATTTAGGGTTTAGGGTCGGGGGTGTAGGGTTTAAGGTCTCGGGGTGTGAAGTTTAGTTTAGGGGTTTGGGCTCCAGGGCTTGGAAACAAGATTCTGGGAACAGGTTTCCGGCTTGGGGTTTTAAGGGTTAGGGTTTCGGATTCAGGGCTTTAGATTTAGGTGACCAACCCTGACCCAACAAACCTGAACGGTCTGAAGCTCCAAAACCTCGAACCCCACCTTTGATCTTAGTTCTACACCAACAAAGGACCGTGGTTTTGGTGGTCGGATGGGCCGAACAAACAAAACACGAGTCTTGGTGGTTTCCTAGTATTTTTTTGAGATTTGACGGGCACTGCTGGGTCGGCTTAGCTCGTCTATAGGCTTGTCGCTCTGATTCCCGCAAACCACAAACAATTAAGGAGATGCTGGATTCTCGATGGTGCAGATGCCGCTTCACTTAGTGTACAGTACATCTCCCACAGAGCAGAGCTTTCGAACTTTCGTAATCTATAATCATATAATCTATTCGTGGGTGGACTCTTCTCAAAAGTCTGTAACCCATGTCACTTAAATAAAGCTCAAAGAGCCCTGCCAAGAGTCGAGATCGTCGCGGATCACCGATGACCGGAAAGAGCCGGGAGGGTTGGAAGGTTTAGTTAAGGGTGTCGGATTACAGGGATTAGGGTTTAAGGTTTACGGGTCTTGGTGATATTTAGAGTTAAGGTTATGGTTTAAGGATTCGGGCTTCGGGATGTTTAGGGTTAAGGGTTAAGGGAAGAGCTTAGGGTCGGAGGTTTAGGGTTTAGGGGTGTTTAAGGGTGTAGGTTTAAGGTTTCGGGTATTCTGGCAATGGAAATCCCAAAGTCCCAAACCTTCTGTCGTCACGTCGAATATCCTCAAGCCCAAAGCTTCTGCAGTAATAAATCCAACACATATGTCTAGCTGACCCAAGCTTTTGCCCCCAAAGGCCCAACTCACAAGAAAATATCAACAAGTCATAATCTGATGGGGGTCTGAGGCATTCAACTCAATCCTCGCGCTTTAGTCCGGAAGTCGGTATGCAACAGGGTTCGCAGGGTTCCCTCAACCCCCAAAACCCGATAGATATAGAGAAGCACCTAAAATCACCTAAAGCCTTTCAAAGCCAACACACCCGAACCCCAACCATGAGCTCGACCTCACATACAGTCATACAGACGAGGGGAGAGTAAGGAGAGACTAAACATTTTGGCTCAAATTCGGCTCAACCACCATGAGCATCAGACTTTCAGCGATATTCAACTATCGCCGTGCCAAAGTCACCGAACTATGTGAAAATAACGATGATGAACCGTGCAAGTAGTACCAACTGCCTGCCGTCGCCACCTTTTGGACTACAAACCAGAAGAATGTGCTGAGTGGTACATATCCCGGTTAAATTTCTGCACGTTTGCTTTTTTTGCTCAAGTTGTAGGTTTCGCTGTTTCACCAAAAAATGGTCGCGGATCCACTTTTAGTGGAGTGGTTCCACTTCGGACACACAAATGGCGGATCTACTTTTTGGATCCGTCCGGGGGTCTGGGTTTGCGGCCGCTGAACGACTGGGGCTCAGGTGTCGGAGATGTTTTGAGGCTGAGGGCTGAGGAGCCCGGCAAAGAGGTGGGTGAGCCGAGGGTGTGGCAGTAAAGCAACGAGGCCAAGCCGCAGCAGAAGCAACATGCACTGGTTTTTCCGGGCAGCTGTAAAGCAGGCTGGAGCATTGATACAGGTAGGAAGCATCCTGCGAAAGCCCGCGCTCACCGCTTCAAACTCTCTCGCACGGCCCGGAGCTTGAAGCACCTCAATTTGCCCAAGCTTCATCAAGACATTGCGCGCATGTGTCTCATAGTGACATACCACCGCCTGGCAAAAAAACATTTACATGGACCCCTGGACCCCATCCTTGAAAACAGGAACCCTTCTGATATTCTGCTGCGCATTCCGGAACATCTAAATTTCAAGCCCAGCATCTACAGCAGTGGAGTTCGCTGATCGTGTTTTCCAACCTGGCATGCGACAACATGAAGCGCAGATATGCGCTAGACTCCGAAAACTGCTCTTGCATCGACGAGCTCATCGCTGGCAATACGGAGCGCGGAAATCGTGCTTGGACACAGAGCCCCCGCAAGCCTGCAAACTGCCCACCGCAGTGAGTTGTTCTCGCACTCGATCCTTGAAGCACGCTGAATTTGACTGTTGGTATGATTCACGTGTCTCTTATTAAGCTTTGGGCTCGTCCATCTCAACCTCAGTCTGAACGAAAGCGTCGTGTGCAAGTGAAGTATCAGAGGCACGCCTGGTACTGCTTCTTCTTTGTAATTGCTTCCTCCACACCAGTGTAACTGGAATGCTCAAAACCAGCTCAAATATGTCGCCCACATGCGCACATGACATGGTTGTCCCAGGTTACTGAGCCCAACGAACCTTCAACAGGGTCCACAGAATGGCACTTGGGTGTTTGTGGATGTCCGTACAGTGTGCCAGTGCACCATTTTGTCTATCCAAGCCCTGCCAAGGAATCGCAGCCCGAAGTCCCCACGAGTTCATCTTGGGTTCAGTTTCAGCGCAGCCACACCACTTGACCGGCGAACAAGCGCAGTCTCCGACGACATGACACAACCTATTGCCAAACCTTCGGAAACATCAGCCCCAGCCCCAATAAGTGACCGATGAGTAGTGAGAAAACACAAACGAGCATCACTTCATCCTTGACGTCCATCGCAAGCTTTGCGTTGGCCCTCTTGTACTCCTCGGAGCACAAAGTTTGTTCAAGTTCAATCTCACCAGGTGCCTGTTGTGCGTTCGTTTTTCTCGTCACAGCAAGTCCGCCTCGATTTCCAGAATCGCATCAACCATGCCCATGAGCACCTGAGCAGCCCAATATCAGACTCCACATCGGAAGCCCTGCGTTTGCGCTGCAGTCGTGCATTGCGCTCGGAGTTTGCAACTTGCAACACCACATGGCGAACCCGCCTGCCGCTCGGTTGTAGCCTGACAGGGATTCAACTAAATATTGTAATCAGCCGCATTCGCCGCCGTCGCATAATGAGGAGGTGGGACCGTGAAAAAGCTCCACAGCCAGAAACACCAGTCCTGGTCACAATCGGACTGCATATAAGCTCATTTGCTGACGTGAATGCTGTCGCCACCTCTCGCTCACGCTTGATCTGATTCATGACGCACTCGGGAGCCTCAACAGCGGGGATCCGATAGAAATGCCAACTCGGTTTGCTCCAAACCCATGTGCGAAAAGTACGTTGAGCATGAACGACACTCTGATGCGAGGTAGCGCGACCATGGTGATGAAGAAGGTCAACAACGGCACAACGACCACCATCACCGCCACTCTCACGACAACCGCTGTAAATAGAAGAATAACAACGACTGCGAGGACGACACAAAATGCAATAAGCAATGCAAGAACCACTCCAGGAAACAAAACGAGTAACTGCCCATCAATCAAGACATGGGCGGCTTCGAGGATCAACCAAGCGCTTGTAGCAGACACGCTGTGGTCGAACACATTCTTTGTTGAAGCTCCGTGCACAGCGCTAAAATCACGAAAACAAAGATCGGAGCCACATGCGAACTTGTCTAATCGCCTGAAATTTCGATAGCGAGACACCAAAACACTGCATGTGTGAAGGCAGCTGGGGTAACTGCAACAACAGACTACTGCGAACAGCAGCAATCTGGCTTTGCAGAGTCTCACTAATCGCCTGCAGTCGACCGGCGGCTTCCTCGAACAGGTCTGTGTCAGCATTCACAAGGAGATGCACCTTCAAGCCACAAAGAGCCTAATGTCCTTCATAACCTGAAAACATGTCAACACTCATCCCATCCAGGATTGCAGGCGCAAGCGCGCAGCGTCACGTGATTTCGCTTGCTGCGTGGACCTAGCTCTTGATGCCCTGACGTACTTCGCTCCCCCTGGTTTCTGAAAAACCTTCTTGTAATCTGAAACGTCTACAAAGCAAAGCCTGAACAACGACTGCAGTAAGGTCAGGGCCAGGGTCGCGTAGCTGTGTGAGTAGCTCGCCATGCTCCCCCCAGGAATCCGGAGGATGGCGACAGAAAGTCAAATTTGATCCTGTCGGTTTCCGCAACTTCTACTCGGTCTTCTTCTGCTGCTGCATCTACAACTACGACGACCTGATATTGTCCAGTCTTCACTGCAAAAGATTTCAGCACATGCATCCTGCACGGCTTCGGTCTGAGCGAAAGTGGCTGCCATGCAACAGTTTAGCAACAGTACGAAGTAAGCAGATGATAAGCAGATGATGACTTTTTCGTAAGGTGTTTTCAGCATCGCCTCTTGCGTATTTCACCCGCGCCAACTTTGCAAGCTTCAGGCTGTATTGTACAGTTTGCAGCTTTCAGCTGAGGGCTTGAGGGCGCCTGGACCAGTGCAAACAACAACAAACAAAAACAAAAAGAACAAAATTTGAAAGCACAAGCCAACACATGCGCGCGCTCAGTCCAAGTTGGCCTGGCAGGCTACGGCTAAAGCTGAGGTGTTTCCCCCGGCTAAAAATCGCGAGATCTGCAGTGGCGCGCAACCCCATTCGCCAGACTCTTCCCGCAAGTCCGTGAATGGAGCTAAACAACCCTACCAGCCGAAACCACAACGAATCCTACAATCGAAACACTTTCCTCAGAAGCTTTTTTGGGGCCGAATTTGAAGCCCTGATCCGTCCCAAGTGCATG